TCTTTTTGTCTCTACCGACCATCTGAGCCTGGAACAAGCCATAAGTGATGTATCAAAGATTGTTACCTTTTTCATTCTTCCCCTTTTTATTTGTTGTATTGGAAGCTCTAGCTGTCTGCTTTTTGGTGGTGGTGTTCTTGGAAACTTGAATAGATAAGGTTCACAAGAAGTCAGTGCTTACAATGTCTCATACTTAAAAAAGAAAACAAAATTGGTTCACCTCACCAATGGTCTCATAGGGCTCACTGAATAGTCCATTTCACAGTTGTTTGAGGGTTAAAGCTAGAAACCCGGCAATGTTAGCATAACAAATTATTACTAAGAAAGGCAAGTTCTCAACCCCACTCTTGTTTTTTAGCATCAAATTGTGCAAATGAAAATTGGACAATTCAAAGTATTTTTCAATTATATTGGAAGTCAATTCTGAAATAAAATCTGGAAATCAGCACTATGCCTTAACTAGCCACAAAAGCATGACAATGTTCTTATGGAGCCCTGGTACCAGAGGTGAGGCAACTAACTTATGTCATTGTACATAGAATGTAAAACTTGCTTTTGAAAGCTTTTGAGAGCACATATCAGAGCTCTAAGAGCATATCTTTGACATGGGTCTCAGTTTAAGACAGCAGGAAACTATGAGCACATGTAGCACAAACATGCCTAGCCTTACACCAGTTTGTTCCCTTTCTATCTTCAGGCTAAATTTCCAAAATGGTGAAGTTTTATCTGCAGCTCTTAGCAACAGACACTCTTAACATGTATGTCTGTTGCTTAAAAATAGACTTAGCCAGCAGCAACAACCTATTGACTTAATGCATACAATACTGATTTCAATAACATTTTAAACTCAGAAATCTACAATGAAATTTACACCAAAACTCTACCAAAATTAAGAAATATTAAAGAAAAATAAGTTGGCATTAATCTGTTGCTTTCAAAATGCCTCTGAGTGTAGTTAAAGAACAATTGGATTGTGATGCAGGCTCAAACAAACTGATTGTGATGACGTGCCTTTTTAAGCAACATGAATACTGTATACATGTAAATATACATTGCTCTACCTTTTTGTTTGGCTCTAACAGGTTTTTTCTCTATAGCACCAAAGTCCTCTCCCTCTGTGTCACTGTCTGCATCTGTGTCTGAGCTCCCATCAGATTCAGAATCTGAGTCATCTTTCTCTGAACTTGAGCTCTCTGAATCACTAGAGTCCAGACTCACTAAGAACAACAGAAACTAAACTTTCAGACAAACAATCAATGTAGTATCTGTTACAGGAGAAATTTTAGGTCAGAATGAATTCAGACTGGGTTGATTTGACCACATGAAAGAGCATTTAACAAGTCTTTAACTGGGAGGAAGTAGGAAATGCCACCAGTGAAATGGCTGATAATTGAGAAACCTCCATGGCCTTGACTATTATTAATTTATGTGAAGGATTGCCAGTCAGATAACATTGCCTTGAGTGTTAACTCAAAATTTCTTTTAGCCCCATTAGTAATAAAAAAATGATCATATCATACATTTAAAACTCTGTAAGGCATAATTATGCTTTTTCTTACAGGAAATCTTAAAAATGTGATCAAGACTATTGTCTCCACATTCACAAGTACAACTAAATCTAGGAAATGTTTGAAGTTTTGGTGTCACAAGGTCCTACATGTAACATACACTGGGAGTCAAAGTGCTGCTTATGAAAACTAACACGAAACCCATGAATCAACCCAACTACAAAAGTTCAAGGCTTTATAACAATGCAGATACATGCTCATGTACCTCCCTGTCTTTTTCGACGAGCAGTCTGCCGGTTGTCAGTTTCCAATTCACTACAATTAAAGGAAAATTTTTTTGAAAATTTTCTCTAACAATTATGTACACTATGTTTATTTGTAATATTTGCTTACTTGTTTTAAGAGTTTTTTTTTGTTTTCAAAAGCTTCCCATTCAATCTGCTTGTATTAAGAAAATCAAATAAAATTTAACATAAATGAGGAGAGCACCATCATTCTGTGTAGAAGGAAAAAATGGAGGCAAACCTTTCTATTGCATAAGAGCTTAATCAAGAGAGGTGTTTAATTGTGAAGGGGGGAGAAAGGGGGCAGCAACAGCTGCCCTTATTCAAGTAAATACAGCAACTTCCTGTTTTAGAAACTGAGCAAAAAAATTATTTCTTTGGTTATCACTACAAGTAATGATGATAGGACTGAGTGGGTTCAATTCAGTCTGTAGTGGTGAAAGTGATTAAAAAAATCAGTGACAAACTTGAAGCCCTTGTCAAAGTTGTAAATCACAAGTATGATTACAGACAGAATTGGACAACATGAAGTCCTGTTACCAGTTAATAAAAATTATGACAACAGTCCAGAAACAAACTAACCATTGGTAACACATTTTCATAGAAAACAACAGATAACTCAGCAAAAAGTGCAACAACATCACACACGCGACACAAACACAGGCATGACATGTACACTGTCTTATTAGAACTCAAATCAGACTGGTGCTAACCAATTACGTTTGAGAATTTTGTTATAGTTTTGATTGTCATTATTATTATCATTACTTAAACACATTATCTAAAAGGGAAAGGAGTATTTCTTTTGTCAGTAGACTATAACACTTAATGTCTAGCTCCTTAGAGTGTTATAATATGTATGTGATTTAAAACAATTAAATCAACGCAGGGGAGATATTGTTTAAAATACGAAAATAAAAACTTTTTCACGCAAGAGCATTTTGAAGGTCAGATATTTATGTGATAGCCTCACGATTTCAGACAAATTCTATTCCAGGATCCTAGCTGAGTTAAGGTAGATTTCGTCAGGTCTCACCTTAGGAATTCCCAGTCACATGGCCAGGATATCATGTTAGCTTAATGGGCTGATATAACAGACTCAAAAAATCTCTTAGCGGACGACAGATTAGCTTCAACCCAGGGAACTGAAAATTGATCATTCACTTGAATTAGCACAATAATTAAGCCGAACCGTAAGTTATAACGCTGGCAAAGCTCTTTTGACGTAGAATATGCTCGAAGACAACATCTCGCCTTAGCGTTCGTTGAATGTGTACGAAAGAGGAAAGATTTTTGCATAAGCCCAGAATACTCTAACACATGGCCGTAAAGTAGTCCCAAAGAAAAAACGCAGAATCATGGGGCTGTGCGGAAATCTTGCCCTTCAAGGCGCTGCATCCTTCTTGCTAGAAATCGCTTTTTTAAATATTTACATTTCAAATGTCGAACCGCGCATATTAAGTATTTTAAGAAGACGTTAGATAAATAAATCAGATAAACACAAATAATCAGGCATTGGAATCGAGCGCGCCGTAAGCATCGTTTCACTGCGCTATTCTCGGGAGGGATAAGAAAGAACGATTGTGATTAACAAAAAAAAAACGTAAAAATTGTTACAATATAAAAGTGGTGAGCTTAACACTTACCCTGAAGACCTCAGTTTCGAAGAAAGAGCCGAACCTTATCGATGCTAGGAAGAGGGAGAGATATTGTGCTACTTTACGCGCCAAAATGCAACGGAGGCAAATTAACTTGCCACCAGTCCTTTTCCTCCCTTCCAAATCCCGGAAGTGAATAATAGATCCAGCAATGATCATTTGTGCCAGAGCCCGCGAAACTCTCTCGCGGCCCGCATTGCTTGAATCCTCAAACTTCCTTGCGGGCGAAGACAAGCTGGTGCTGCAGCGCTATATATGGGGGTCTCCTCGCTTATTAATGTCTAAATCTCACCATCTCCGGTTGGGAAGGCGAGACAATGCCACGGTATTTTTTAAGGTTCCTCCAAACTTTCACGGATGTCTTCCGGGAAAGCTTTTGTGCGCGCGCTGCAGATCGTAGGTGAAGGAAGCCAGACTTGACTTGAGACTGACCGAGTCTCATTCTGTTGAATCACAGGCAGCCCAGGCTAGCACGACGAGCCTTCAAAGATATGCAAATATTTTTAATGTTGCGCTATGGTCGAAGAGTAGGGATAAAAAGGTCGCATCCTTCACTTAAAATTTTAGTTTTGTATGAAAACAAAATTAACTTACCACTATGGTTGGTCGATTGCATCTTATGAGTTTTCTAGGTGGATTTAAGAATGCCTGGGTCGTTCTTAGTTCTCCTGCTTTATCCACAATATAATCTTCAGTAGAATGATCGTAAATATTAAGTTATGTAGCACAGTTTGAGGATTTGCCATAGCATTTGTATGGGAATGGAAGCTCGACGCATTCTTAACCCAACATTTTGAGCCTAGTTTTGAACAAAAACCTTATCTTGCTTTAGAATTTGCTCCTTTGAATCTCATGAGATTACTCGGCCCTCTTTGTATAAGTTTTTCCCAAGGTAGGTCAGTTGGTGATCCCATCCGAACAAATCCACTGACAGTAAAACGCTGTTATTTTGCTGTAAATGCCAAGAAATTCAACATACATCCAACGCTCATGTACCCTATTCGAGGTTCACGTACAAAGGAATGGAGATGTAAATGGTTCGAGGTTTGCACAAAAATGAGTTGAGTTAAAGGCCGCCAATTCCTGCCAAAAGGTTCGTGGAGAGCCCTCGGGTTAGATGTTATACGAATTCCGCCGTACCCAAATCGCTTGGGTTAGATGTCCTACGCATTCCGCCGTAACCAAATCGCTCGGGTTAGATGTTATACGAATTCCGCCGTACCCAAATCGCTTGGGTTAGATGTTCTATGCATTCCGCCGTACCCAAGTCGCTTGGGTTAGATGTTGTACGAATTCCGCCGTACCCAAATCGCTATAGGTTCACATTACTTGAGTTCAGAGTAGGTGACCGTTCATGAGTATGCGTTGTCGTAGGGATAGATGAATTTTGAGATAAAAGCCCGTTGATTAAACCATGAAGGCCTGGATAAGGGGCGGGGGCTGCAAATGTCAGTTGTCAGTTAAAATTTTGTCTACTTGTCAGTTAAATTTTGGGTAATTTGTCAGTTGTCAGTTAACTGTCTGTGAAATGGCTCAAACCTCTCCCATTT